ATTTTAAGCATTATAAACAAAAATATTTTGCAATAAATGACATAATGATTATTGACTCATATATACTCTTTTATTAGTAACAACTTCTTGTTACTCTGTTAATGTTTCTTACATTTGAAATGTACATCATGTCTATTTTATCTTCCTTTGATGGTATTTACATGCATGTAGTTTTATTTTTTCTGTCTCTATTTATCGGCCACTTCATTAGTACCAGGCTGACCTCAACACTCTATTTTGTTCTTGAAGTACAATAATGTCTGTAACAGTAGCTGCAATGTAAACGACAAACACAGCTTTCCATAGGATTAGTAAGGCATCTGAAAATTGATACTTTAGTGTAGAAATTTGTATGCTTCAAAAATCTTTGCTATATGTAAAAACCATGGAAAAAATAGCGTACGATGCTCTTAAAAATGGTCAACAAACTAGAGCAAAGTGGAATATCAAAGTTTTACTCTCCTGTAGCCACTTCTGTTAAACAAACAATGCACATACAAACTGTTTGTGTTAGAAACAAAGTACTTTTGGGAGTATAATACACAGCCACAATCTCTGTTTGAGGAGATCATCTAAGGAGATAGTGTTTTCTCCTGAACACTTACAGAAAGACTATGTTGAGATTGTGAGGAGACATTGGATGTCATCTGGAGCCTAAAGGGAGTGTCATTATGACTTTAGCATTAACACACACATTAATTTATTCCTCAGTAAGTTTTAGGGTGCAAAGATTTCTGAAACTATTAAAATATAAAGATTTAAAAATACAAAGGATAATCAATTTATGTAAAGTGTTATTTCTCCAACATGATCCCAAGACCCCTATCATCCTGTCCTATGTTTACTTCATTCTTGTCATTCTTGTTACCATTCAAAATAAACAGCCAGATCAACGACGATCTCTGTGTAGCCAAATCTAATGGGAGCTGTTAGATATTTTTCCCACTCAATATTTTAGCAGCTCTTGGCATGGTGATTCATTTTTCTGACTGGTAAAACTTGTTGACTTTTCCTTCTTTTTTTTTCCCCCTCGAGTCACTTAAAACTGCTCTTAATTTTCATTTTGGTTCCTCTTATTTTCCTCAAACTCTAAATTTAGGAGAACTTTTAAAAATTCTTCCAGCATCCACCACCACTCTATCTTTTCTCCCTCTGTCTTTAATGTCTTTCTAGTTGATGTACTCAATTCCTGTAACCTTAAGTATCATCAATAGGCTATTCACTGAAATCTAGATTCAAGTATCCAATAGCTATTTTAAAATCTCCATTAGAATGTAAAATAGACATCTCCAAATTATCATGAACAAAACAGAATCTTTTATTTCCAACCATACCCTGTTTCACAACTAGTTCTCCACTAATCTCTTTTCTCCTTTAGTAAACAGAGCCATGATACTACTAGTGACTGAAGGGCCATCTAGTGACTCCTATAGGTCATCTTTTCTCTCCTCCCTGCAACAACCTGTTAGAAGAATTATTAGTTCTATCTCAACAATGTACCCCAAATCTGACACCACTTTCTAATCTGACCTTTGTTGCTTTAGTCCCAACCACTGGAGTGTCACACCTGAACCATCCTAATATTTCTGTTTTTGGTCTCTTTACTTTCACTCTTATCACCCTATAATCATTTTTTACACAGCTATAAAAGTGTTTTTAACATACATCTGACATGATAATTCTTCTAATTAAATTCTCAATGGATTCCTATGCACTTACAATACATTCAAACTTTTTTACCACGGGCCTTTTCTAAATAATTTGGTCTCTCTGTATCCATCTCACCTTAACTTCTACCCCTTTTACTCTCACTGTGTGCTGGTTTCAATGACCTTTCTGTTCCTAAATGTGCCAAATTCTTTCCTAAATCAGGAACTTCCACTTATATTCATGGTCCCTGGAATGTTCTTACCTCAATTCTCAGAAATATTCCCTGTATTATTTGGGATTCAGCTCAAATGTCTTCATTTCAGAGAGGCTTTCTTTGGCACTTTGTCTAAATACTTCTTCTTCATCACTTTATTATTTTACCTTTTATTTTCCTCATATTACAATATAATTTTTTTTTTTTACTTATACGTGTTCATTTACTATTTCCTGTCCTTTTCCACTAGAAAATAATGGTCCCAGTCTCTAAACCTTTGCTTGGCACATATTAGACACATACTCGTTGAGCAAATGATTAACTCTCTGTACTACTTGTTTAAGTTGCAAATTCCTGCCTAACCCCACAACACAGAGTCAAGATTTTCAGAGCAGGAATGTTCCTAGAAATCTGAATAACAAATAAGAAACTGAATAATTTTTTATGCAGATCAATGTTTTGGAATTACTACTTTCCTCTGGATGAGGCCAGAACCTAGTCAAGAAGAATGTCTAAAATGGGCAGGCAAATTATCTGTTTTCCCCTTGAATTCTAACTTCATAGAAGAGTTAGAACATGTAGATGAAGGGTGGATTTTTTTGGGCTCTGTTTTCCTGTGAGTGTATTAGAACTGACCTTCCCCTGAGTGTTGGGGAGGCTGGTCTCTAGCTGGGCTCTCATTTAGAGTGACCACAGTTAGAATTCAGTGTGTCTCTCTGCTCTTATTTCATTCCCGTGCTAAAGTCTCGGATACTTGAGGGGAAAGTAGATGCTTCCTTAAGCAATTGTGGGGAGGATCCAATAGGTGGTCCATGCCTTGCTGTTTGCCTTGCTGTATTGCTGTTAGTGTCCTTCAGCTACCTTGGTTTGATGCCCATGGCTTTGGCCAGAGTTTCAACTCTGCCCGGGCATTATTGAATTGACATAGAATCCTAAATAAATACTGTTTCCTAGATATATTAGCTGTTTTCATAAGGAAATAACTCATGAGGTTATCTTTACTCTGTATCTGCGTGAAAAATTGATAGAAATGTTATTTAGTGAACAAGAATATTATTAAGATGTTTATCTTTTGCTTCTCAGGTTAGAGGTTGTTCCTAAGATTAATAGAACTTTATATATTTATTAGAAATATGTTTTAAAGTATTTTACTCCCATCTTTTGCTCTTTTATCTTTGTCTAATGGAAATAAACATCATTAAAAATACCCATTTTCAATAAAATATAAAACAAAAAGAAAACAAAAGCGACAAACAAAAATATCAATTTGAGTGTAGAGCTTATCTAGTAAATGTCTATTGAGCATCGAATTTGTGCCTGTTTCCCTGTCAGTAACCTATTTATCCATTAAAGTTCAACTCAAAGTCACCTGTGGGACCTTTCCTAATTTGTGTAGGCAGAGCTAGTTTCTCCTCTGCTTTAAAACAAAAAGCTCTGTACTTTTTTGGAGCATTTATTACATTTCTTGAAATTTTGTATATGTTTATCTCCCCTATCTAACCTGTAAGATCATTAAAGAGAATCTTTTTTCTTAATCTCCAGTATTTAGCACAACAATATTTTCTCCAAATCTCTGGTATTTAGCACAACAATTGACAAAAAGTAAGTATAGTCATGTGCTGTATAACAATGTTTTGGTCAATGCCTAACTATCTATGATGGTGATCTCATAAGGTTATAAGGGAGCTGAAAAACTCTTGTTACTAGGAATGTCTTGATAATCCTGGCCCTGTGTAGGCATAGGCTAATATGTATGTTTGTGTCTTGGTTTTAAACAAAAAAGTTTAAAAGTAAAAAAAGTATTTAACAGTAGAAAAAACTTATCGAATAAGGATATAAAGAATAAAGATGTATTTGTATCTTTTGTTATATCTTTACACTCTAAAGATATTTTCATACCTTAATTCATTATTGAAGAAAGAAAAATATGTTTTCATGAATTTAGTGTAGCCTAAGTTTGCAGTATTTATAAGGTTCACAGTAGTGTACATTTATGTCCTGGGCCTTCACATTTAATCACCACTCACTTACTGACTCACCCAGAGCAAATTCCAGGTCTCTAGGTTCCACTCATGGTAAGTACCCTATATAGTTGTACCATTTTAAAAATCTTTTATACCATATTTTACTGTAATTTTCTATGTGTAAATACACAAATATTCCCTGTTGTTTTATAATTACCTATAGTATTCAAGAATAATGCCCAAATTCACTGGGTGGGGAAAATAGTTAATTAATTTTAATAGAAACAAATCTAGCAGTTAAAGTAGATGACAGAGTTGTTTTTTCTTCAGAAAGTTGTTATGAAACAAAATGAGGCAGATGAAATAAAAGCTCTGAGAGTTAAGACGAGATGTCAAGGACTTTTAATGAAACAAAAAACTGGGATAGATTAGATTAGATAGTAGATTAGTGGCACAGTAGATTACTTGCAGAGCTGAGTCTTCCACATTTCAGAGCAACCATTTGTCTTTGGTCCCTCTTCAGGGCTCTGATTGCCTTTGTTCTCTCTGCCCCTCTGTCTTATTTTCCCATGACTGTCTCTCCCTGGTCATGCAGTTGCCTCCAATCTGTCAGCTGTAAAGTTAGGAAACAATGCCTATAAAATTAATTTACCAAATTGTATTGACGACTGTTTGGTTGTCTTGTTGTCTTTCCCATATTTTAATTGGGATCACTGACTTTAATACCAAGAAATATTTAAATGTTTGAGGTACCTGTAATCCCTGAAAGTGACCAAGGGAGTCAGCCATTTCCCTAGTCAAGTGCCAAGTGGCTCATTAGGCTGACTTTGATTTGTAGTCAGTTATGGATGAATGGTAGCAGAATTTCCATTGTTGATGCTAAGGGTCTCAGCTATGAACAATTTAAACTTAAGGTGAAGAAACACAATCTTTATTCAAAGAGAATTTTTCTAATTTCCTGATAATCAGCTTGTGGAGACAAAGGTAGTCATTGTGACCCACTGAAAGGCTTATTGTGCAAGTAGAATCTTGTTGGATGACTTTTGTCACATGCTGTAGGACAGTTTGTTATTGTCACCATCTGCCACCTCTTCCTTCTTCAAGATATTGCTGAAGATTGAAAACAAATCAAGTACTTATCATGGAATTTGTGGAAATTAAGAAACCAAGACCTTTGCTTTCATGTTTATTAAAGAAGATCACTAAAGATATTGAATAGAGAATGCTGTGTGCTATTTCAATTACATTTGTTATTCTTTCATTAACAGGAATTTTGATTCTTCAAAGAAGTGGCTCACATTTAATTTTAGGTGACCTGAAATAAATAACAGACATACGGTTATTAATTGCAATGGGTTTTTTTTTTTTGGAAACATGTACATTTTCTGCATTTTAATGACAACTATTGGCTTAAAAATATATCTAGTTCAAGGACTGGGAAATCATCTGCTCAAGAACACTGAGTAGATGTAAAAAGAAAGCAAAGGTCTTTAGTGGTAAGTATTATCTGAAATATTTTGTTTCCTAGAACAGTCCTCTGGGTTCTAATTTAATCTTAGATAAGACTATTTTATATATATTAAATTTTAAATTATTATAGTAGATTAGATCTATAGTCTATGGTATAGACTATATTTCCTCAATTTATCTAGTAATTGACACATCATCCACTTTGTTTTTGATGTGATGAAATGACAGGGGTCACTGTTATAGGTGAAGCATGAAGCCTTTAAAATTTTTTACTATAATGTGACATTCGGAAGCTAAGTTTGGAATTTTAGTATTAGAAAAATTACATGGTTCTCTAAGGACTAAGCTGAAGTCTACTTTAAACTCTAGGCCCATAAATTCATCTACTATGATCTCCACCTTGGTTACTCTGATTCAGTCCAAAATGCAGTTATTGACAATAGTATAAAAAGTTACAAACACTTTGTAAACAATATTTTAATAACATAGGGATTGTTTCTGTTACATCACAACAAAGAAAGGATTGAAAGTGCTGTGCTGATTAGATCATGGAAGGGCACATATGTGTATCTGAGTGGACACACGTTACGGTATCTACCAGAGAAAAACATTAAAACGAATTGAAACTTAAAGGGGCCAACTGGGGACATAGTTAACATTTCTTTTTCCTTGAAATTATGGATTCCAATCTGCAAACTTAAACTATGATTGTAACTATGTGTACTTACCACATATTTCATCTTCAATTTTATTGTGACTTCTCATTCTTGTTTACTTTCACTAGGAAGGGGAGTTGTAGGGCCAGATTCAGGTATTGGAACAGGAAAACTACGTCCAAACCTTGGAAATCTTGGATATGGAATTGGTGGAAATGGGCGAAATGGATATGGGTAAGGGAACGCAAGAAATCCTGAAAAAAATTCATCGCTGTCACTGACCTGTTGAAAGAAAGAAGTTAAAGGGTTTATTTTACTTTTTATAAAGAAGAGAAATTGAACAGCTTTGTTTTTTTAAATAATGGGCCTTTATTTTTAGGAAGAGGCTTTAGAAGCTCTAAAATCCTTTATCTTTTCTGTGTGTACTATGGACAGGGAGTTTATTAATTTGCATCATTTAAAAAATTATTTAGAGAGGTATGTTCTTGTATCTTTCCACCTTGTATCTTGCCACAAAATAAAGGCAAATTTTTCTGGCAATTACTTCTTTACCTACAAGGCCAAGATGAATGTGGTGTTGCAGTACCATAAAATTTCTCCCTTTGCCTTCATACAAGTTCTTTACCCAAACCACATGTGGGAAACAACCTCTCTCTTTCAGTATCTCAGTTCCTTCTTCCTGCTTTCTCTCTCAATTATCTGTCTGTATCTCTATTAGTTTTTGTATTCTTAGCTCTCTGTAGTTTTTGCAATAAAATCATGCTTTCCAGATAATAGGATTTCCATAAATAAAAACAAATCTTTAAATAAGGCTTTCCCTCTTTGAATTTTATTTTCTTTTTATTAAACAATTTTAGTTAACTGTTTAGACTCAAATAATCCATGAGCGAATTTGCCACTGGGAGGATCATCAAAGCCGGCCCACATCTCTTAATGCTCAGGTTTCATTTTTTACTTTTTTTGAAATGAGTTTCATAGAGCTAAGGCCTCTGCCTTAGCTTATGGAGGCCTGAGTTATTAGGCTAGATAAATCTAGAAAAAAATATTGTAACCCAAATCGTCACAGAATGATTTGGATTTCAATCCAATTCTTACCGTGATATGAGATATGGAGATAATTTCCTTTCTATGGGCAGAGCTCAAATCCCTGAAGTCTAAACCTCTGTTGAGTGCTAATACCAAAATCTCTTTATGAATCTCTCCACAGTTTGGGAGGTTTAGGTAAATCAATATCTTTAACAACAGTTATGAATATTTCACACATAAAACTTACATGTAAAAAAGAGAAAAGGTAACTTACACTTCTTTTTTCTCGTTCCTGGTCTTGAGAGACCTAATGGTCAAACAGTGAAGTTAATTAAACTCATGCTCATGAAAACACACAAATAAATATATACATATGCATGAGGGAAATAATTTGACAATCTATTACCTGATATTGTTTCATAATAACCATTTTTTTAAAATACCCAGAATTTGTCTAGAAAATGTAGAAATGATTTTCCTGAAAAGTCTTAATATGTATTCTAAAATGGCTCAGATTCACCACGATACCAAAGATATGTGGAACTGAATTATGCACTGAATGGTATATGGTTTATAATATTTTCTGGAGTGTAATGATAAAAGGGCATGTGTGTTAGGTATTCTTACAGAATACAGCATGTGAAGGAGAAAAAACCCTGAAGATTCATGAATCAAGACAAAATATACAGTCATGCATTGCCTAACAGCAGAGGTAAGTTCTGAGAAATGGGTAGTTCAATGATTTCATCATGCAAACATCATAGAGTGCACTTACACAAAACTAGATGGTATAGCCTACTACATACCTAGGTTAGATAGTATAGTCTCTCGCTCCTAGCCTACAAAACTGTATGGCTTATTACTATCCTGAATACTGTAGGCAGTTGTAACACAATGGTAAGTATTCATGTATCTAAAAATATCTAAGACATATCTAAACATAGAAAAGGTACAGTAAAAAATATAGTATAAAAGATGGAAAATGGTACACTTTATACCTATACACTTATATAGGTTACGTGCCATAAATAAAACTTTCAGGACTGGAAGTTGCTCTGTGTGAGTTAGTAAGTGAGTTATTGTATATGAAGGCCTAGGACACTACTGTTTACTCCTGCGGATTTGTAAACACTGTACGCTTATGCTACACTAACCTTATAAAAACGTATTTTTCTTCCTTTGATAATAAATTAACCTTAGCTTACTATAACTATTTTACTTTAACTCTTTTGTAATAACACTTAGCTTAAAACAAACACATTTTACAGCTGTACAAAAATACTTTCACTCTTTATATCCTTACTCTATATGCTTTTTCTTTTTTACTTTTAAACTATTTTGTTTAAAACTGAGACACAAACATATACATTTGCCTAGGCTTCCACAGGGTCAGGGTCATCAATATCACTGCTTTCCACCTCCCCATCTTGTCCTACTGGAAGGTCTTCAGGGGCAGTTAGACACGTGGAACTATCATCTCCTATGATAATAATGCTTTCTTATGAATACCTCCTGAAGGACGTGTCTGAGGCTGTTTTACAGTTAATGTTAAAAAAAATAGTAGAAGGAGTAAACTGTAAAATAATGATAAAAGCATAGTACAATAAATACACAAACCAGTAACATAGTTGTTTATTATTGTATTATGAACTGTGCATGATTTTTTGTGCTCTACTCTTATGTGACTGACAGAGGGTAGGTTTGTTTACACCAGCATCATCACAAACACATGAACACATGACTAATGCATTGCCCTATGACATAATGATAGCTATGGTATCATTAGGTGGTAGGAGTTTTTCAGCTTCATCACGATTTTTTTTTTTTTCTTTTTTTTTTTAAGAGAGGTAGGATTGCTATGTTACCCAGGCTGCTTTTGAACTTGTGGGCTCAAGTGATTCTTCTGCCTTGACCTCCCAAATTACAGGGAATACAGGCATAAGCCACTGTACTTGGTAGCTCTGTTATAATCTTATAGGACCATCCTTGTATATATGGTTCCTGGTTGACGGAAATATGCGGTACATGGTTATACATAAATATTTTGGAATGTAGAAATCGATACTTACTGGGAAACCAACAGCCACTGCCATGATGGCTGTGATCAGAAGGAGAACTTTCTTCATCTGCAAAATAGAGTAAATAAAATAAAAAATAAGAATAACTTTCATTTTATTCATAAATATCCTAGAAGTCAGCAAAAAGACTATGAATTCAAAAGATCCAGTTAAAGTACGAATTATTCGACAAATAGCTCTTTGAGTTTGAGCAAGTCACTTACAATCGTAGGGAATCAATCTATTTGTTAATATAAAGAACTTTTTAAAAGTCAAATAAAAGGAGCTTTGTAATTTCATAACTACATTACACCGGTTGCTTTAAAAATAAGCATTCACATATTATTTAAGAATAATAATTCCTACGTAACAAACCTACACATGTATCCCTGAACTTAAAATAAAAAAATAAAAGAATAATACTTCTATGTACTTGTAAAGTACATAGTTTCTGGAAGAAATAATGCATTGGTTTATACAGAGAATGTTAGTTTTGGAAGTAAGAATGTTAGTTTGGAAGTAAGAAGTAAGTTTGAATTTAGTGATCTCAGAAAGTTCAACATTCCTTATACTAATGTCCATGAAAGTAATGTAGGTGACAGATTTATTTGCACTGGTTCCAGGCAACCCCAAAAAGTCCATGATGTGAAGAAGGATCTGTTTTCATGCCTGCTAATACAAAATCCATCCTGCAGTCCATGTATCAAAGAGTAATTTTGACTTTCAAGTTTTATTATTTAATAAATAATAAAGGACTTTTCCAAAGCATTTTATTGTATTTTAATTTTCACTGTAGATTCCTCATCATATCACACACTGTTAAAATGTATCAATTACAATATCATTAATATTATATTTGAGAAAACTGAGCTAAATTAAAGATTTATTCAATAATTTTATAATGGAGTACACAATGAAACATAGAACATTTGCATTTATAAATATTTGTGATTAATACAATAAATGTGCATATTACCGGATTTCAAATAATAATGGGAAATTTTCTGTATTGGATGGTATCATTAGGCATTAATCCTCTTCTTTGTCATGGTGTGAATGCCGTATATGCTAGAGAACATGTGGGGGGTTCTGGGAAAAGCAATTAAGTTGAAAATGTGGATTGGCTATGGGACTTTTCTTGAAGTTTGCCTCATATTTGTTAATTTATTAGTTTATAAAGTTTTTCTTGATAACTGATTAAGTATGAGATGTTATTCTAGGTGTTGTGTATGTACAGGAACACCTCATTTTATTGCACTTTATACATATCTTGTTTTTTACAAATTGAGTGGCAATTTGTGGCAATCCGGCATCGAACAAGTCTATCAGCACCATTTTCCCAACAGCACGTGCTCATTGCGTGTCTCTGTGTCATATTTTTGTAATCTTAGCAATATTTTGTAGTTTTCAATATTATATTTTACTATCTATAAGATATTATAAATATGTAATAAGATGTTATTATATCTTTTATGGTGATCTGTGATGAGTGATCTTTGGTGGTGTTACTTTGATCCAATTATTTGGGACTGTTATGGGAAAAATAAGTGGCAAACTTATTTGACAAATGTTGTGAATGTTTTGATTGCTTCACTCACTGGCCATGCCCCCAGTTATCTCTTCCTCTCCTCAGGCTTTTCTATTTCCTGAGATATGAGAATATTAAATTTGTACCAGTTAATAATCCTACAATACCCTCTAAGTGTTCTAATGAAAGGAAGAGTCACATGTCTCCTACTTTACATCAAAAGGTAAAACGATTTAGTGAAGAAGGAATGTCAAAAGCCAAGATAAAGTGAAAGGGAGGATCTTGCAACAACTAGTTAGCCAAGTTGTGAATGCAAAGGAAAAGTTTAGAAGGACGTTAAAAGTGCTACTACAATGAATGCAGGAATGACAAGAAAGCGACATTTTCTTAAGCAGAAGCCTAATCTAGAACAAGGTCCCTATGCTCTTTAATTATACAAAGCCCTAGAGATGTGAAGAAACTGCAGAAGAAAAGTCAGAAGCCAGCAGAGATTGGTTATAACATGAAAGTGCAAGATAAAGCAGCAAGTGTTGATATAAAGGCTGCAGCGTTATCCAGAAAATCTAAGAACACTGATGAAGGTGTCTACAATAAGTAATAGATTTTTATTGTGGATGAAACAGTCTTATTTTGGAAAAAGATGCCATCCAGAACTTTCACAGCTAAAGAGAAGAAAACAATGCCTGGCTTCAAAGCTTCAAAGGACAGGCTGCCTCTTTTTAAGGGATATAGCTGGTTTCCTAAATTGAAGCCAATGCTCATTTATCATTTCAAAAATCCTAGTGCCATTGAGAATTAAACTAAATCTACTCTTCCTGTGCTGTATGGATGGAACAACAAAGCCTGGATGACAGTACAGCTAGCAGAGCATGGTTTACTAAATGTTTTCAGCTCACTTCTTAGGAAAAAATATTTTTTTCAAAATATTGCTGTTCATTGAAAATGCATCTGAGCCCCCAAGAACTCTGAAGCAGATGTTCAAAGAGATTAATGTCATTTTCATGCCTGGTAACACAACATCCATTCGCAGCCCATGGATCAAAGAGTAAATTTGACTTTCAGGTTTCATTATTGAATAAATACATTTTGTTAGACTATAGCTGGCACAGATAATGATTTCTTCGATGGACCTGGGCAAAGTAAATTAAAAACCTTCTGTAAAATATTCACCACTCCAGATGCCATTAAGACCATTTGTGATTCATAGGAGGAGGCCAAAATATCAACATTCCAGGAGTTTGGGAGAAGTTGATTCCAACTCTTGTGGATGACTTTGAGGGATTCAAGACTTCAGTGAAGGAAGTAATGTGCAGATGTGGTGGAAATAGCAAGAGAACTAGAAGTGAAGCTTGAACATGTGACTTAATTGCTTCAATATAATGGTAAAACTTGAGTGAATGAAAAATTGCTTCTTATGGATGAGCAAAGGAAGTGGTTTCTTGAGATCGAATCTACTCCTGGTGGAGATGCTGTGAAATATTTTTCAAATGACAGTAAATGATTTAAAAACATAAACTTAATGGATAAAGCAGTGGCAGGGTTTTCAAGGGTTGAGTCCAATTTTGAAAGAAATATTGTGGGCAAAATGCTTCATGTGCTCCAAAATGCTACAGCATCGCATGCTACTGAGAAATCTTTTGTGAAAGGAAGAGTCAATCCGTGTGTCAAACTTCGTTGTTGACTTATTTTAAGAAATTGCCACAGCCACCTTAGCCATCAGGAATCATCACCCTGATCAGTCAGTAGCCATCAATATCAAGGCAAGACCCTCCACCAGCAAAAAGATTATGACTCAGTGAAGACTGAGATAATTGTTAGTACTTTTGAGCAATAAAGTATGTTTTAATTAAGATTTTTATGTTGTTTTTCTAGACATACTGCTATTACACTTAACATATAATGCTATAGTGTAATCATAAACTTTTATGTACATTGGGAATCCAAGAAATTCATTTGACCTGCCTAACTGTGATACTCATTCTATGGTGGTGGTTAAGAACTGAACCTGCAGTATCTCTGAAGTTTACCTGTAATATCAGTTTGGAAAGTCCCTGATTTATGGATCCTTTAAGCTCACTGTTACATTGTTATAGGTAAATACATTACAAAGTTTTCTAAAGATTATTTAATATTTTACATTGAGGAAAATGTCAATTTTTAATGTCATTATCATTTTGAAGTACCTTTGAGATAGTGGAGATTCTAGGGAAATTTTATCACCTTTTGATGTTTCCTGTATATCTATGAGACAAAAGAACACAGTGTAAAAGATGTAGCAACGTTTTGATCTCTGCCTTTATTTTCTGATATTAATCAAAATTTGAATTCAAATTCAAAAAAGTACCAGATAATGTAATAATTTTGAGAAGACAAGAATGTAAAATTCCAGTCAAGTTCAGACTTTTACATGCAGATTGTTAATGTAGGAAATCAAGAGTAAAAAATTACACAAACACTCACATGCATACACTCACACATTCTCACAGACACACACACACATATACATATACATAGTCTACTTTCTATGTGCAAAGCATTGTGGTGGGTGCTTTCAAGGATACAATGAGAAAGCATAATTTCTTCCATATGAGACTTCCACATGGAAGGCAGTTACAGATATTTCTATAATGCAATACAAAGTGTGATATATACCATATGTAGAAATTGCAAAATATTGGGAGTATTTAGAAGAAGAAAGAGACAGGTTGAGGAAATAGTTTTGGAGAGGATAGAATTCAAGCAGGGCCTTTACAATTTCTTTCAACGGGTTTCAAGAATTATTTAAAACTACATTAAGCAAAGAAGTAAATAAACCATAACACAGACTCTTCCAGATCATATCTTAGAGTCAGGACATAGCATAATTACCAGCTATCTCCTTTTGTTTTTATACTTATCAAGTCATGATACCCATGGCAGTTTATTGCTGTGTGCTATAGAATAAATGATACCCCAGATAAATTAGAAGCATCTTCCTAGAAAATTAATTTTATTCAAGAATTTATGGGAAAGACAAATGACTTTTATATTAAAATCAACATAAAATGTTATGGAATGGAATGTAAGTATTGCATATATTTTAAAGATAAAAGAGGAGGCCAAAGAAATTGGCTCTTGCTCAGACGTTAGAGAACCTCTGGCGGTGCATGTTCCCTCTCTTTGCTGACCTGATGGCCACAAAGTTAAAAATAAACCTGAGGCTCTGTTGTCTCACTCTGTCTGCACTCTCCCCAACCAGCGCTCTGCTCCTACAAATTCGTTTATGGTCACTCTAAAATAAATATTTACTACAACAAGATAGTGATTTTAAAAAAAAGTTTTGCAAACAGAATACTAAAAATGATTTTCTAATTACTAAGTTTACAAATTCAAGTAACCATTACATGACAGTCTCAATAATCTAAATTTTTATGATTTAAAAAAAATATGGAGAGATGTTACATATCTATATTTACAAAATAGATATACAATCTTAGTTTACAATGATATTTAAGATCTTTCTTACCTCAAACGTTTCAGTCAGTTCTTTGTCTCCGACGCTGTTAGAAAGGGAGAGTGTCTGGCCCTGGAATATTGCAGCTGTTTTATATACTCGAAGGTATAATGGAGTGGAGAAATCTGTGGCTTAAAGGCTTCTCCCATAGGATCAGTTATTACTCATCAACTATCACAATATGTTGAAATTGGGGAATAACCAATGTCTAGTTTCATAGAAACTACCAAATACCAAAATCTTTTGTGGTTTTTTCTCCAAATTTTGTGTCTTGTATATTTGAAGCTTATCACTTTACATGTTGTTGTTCCATTGTCTACTCTCACAATTTTTTTCCTTCACTTCCCACAATTTAAAATACCTCCAAGCATTTTACTGGTATTGATAACAATCTATTGCAAAGCATATTTGATAGTGCTGGAATCTTAAGAAAATAAAAAATCTAAAAATCGTTAAAGATGGGATTAAAATCTTTTGCATGGTTCTGCGTTCAGCTTCTTCATTTTATTATCAGGATTAGAGCTTCATAGATGAGTGAATTGTATTTTTGGAGCACCACAGCATCTTGTTTACCTTATGGAACACTATACTCTGTTTCTCAACTGAAAATTCACTTGCAACAGAAAGGGTATCATCATTAAGTGCTGGACTAGAAACTAGAGCCCACAAAACATTCAAGAATTACCGTAAATATGCATGCATATTGTATATGCCATTTTCAAGAGTCATAAAATTTGAGCTTTAACTCATTTGAGAGCTTTCAAAAATATTCTATTATTGAGTTCTACTTCAAAAGAGGTTATATAGTCCAGATTGTAGTAGTAGTGCATCAAAGTCCCTTTTCTTCTTTTTATTTTTTCTAGAAATCAGTTCTCAAGGGAACTCAGAAAAATAATAACAGCTAAGTTTTTTGAGAACTTCAAGTGCTGAAGCACAAATTTAAATGCTTTATATATATAATATAATTAAATACCCCAAACCACTTTAAGAGGAAAGTACTATGATCAACACCATCCCATCCTGAGACTGAGAAGCGAGAATATTAGTAATCAGTTTGGGTATTATAACTAGTCTCTGGCAGATACTGAATTGAGCACCAGCCATTTGGTTCTAAAACCCACATTTATAACTAGTGCCTTATACTGTCACTGTAACAGAAGGTGAGAAAAATCAGCACAAAGTCAGAGAAACATTAAACTTCCTTTACCTCTAACTTAACATTTAATCTTATCTCAATGATTTAAAGAAAACTGCCTGAATCAGAAACTTAACATATCAAACCTGGTATGTTATTGTATATTGTTTTCTATTTTGACCAATTTGGGGCTCACAGTACATTTCCCCAGGGCTGGGGATGACAGATGTGTGTGTGTGTGTGTGTCTGTGTGTGTGTGTGTGTGTATTATCCATTTCCTTACCTAAAACCTATCTTTCAATGTATTTTACTTCAATTTCTTTTATCTGAAATTGCTCTAATGGAGGTTGGCAATTGCCACTGAATTGTGAAAACCATATGTGATTTTCTGTCCTTGTGTTACTTCAATTCTTTTGACATTTAACTGTGACTATTCCCATCTAGAAATCTATTTTTCTCTTCCTTGGATTCTTGAAGCCAATTTTTCATGTTCTTTTTCTTTTAGTAGCAACCATAGGTCTTATTTTCTGATTCTTTTTCTTTGGTTTATTATACTTGACAATTTGTTTTCTTACTCTTCACTTTCTCTTGTAATATAATCTACTTCTGACTCCTTAATCTCTGCCTTCAGCTAAAACTCTTCTCTAATTACCCACAGTCTTGCATCCAACTGAATAAGCATCAAAGCATCAAACCCAACCTATTCAAAACCTAGCTTACTATTTTTCCCTCTTAATATGCTCCTCACTTTTATGTAATCTCTCAGCTGATGATCATCAATCACTCAGTTATCCAAGCAATCAATCTAAGACTCATCCTATTTTTTTCTTGTGCCTTCTCTTCCACATCAAATAGTCATTAACTTTTTCCTTCTTATAATTCTCTGGAATAAATCTCTTCCATCTTCTTTGTCTTTTCCTTAGTTTGGTTTCTCATTCTCTCCTAGAGTGTTATAGTAGCCTCTTACATAGAGTCCCTGCCACCAGTATTTTCCTCTTCAAGCTATCTTCCACAGCAATGCTATAATGATCCTTAAAGTGGCTTTCAAAGTTTTAAAAATAAAAGCCACAGTAAAAAATGCATTATATGTCATAACTCAATCTGCACAAACACACACACACACACACACACACACAACTAAGACAAGGATTTAATAAAATAATTTTTACATTGTTTACATGAGGAACATACTGAAATTTTCAATTTTTTCAGGTATGTTCTAATCCAGTTTTTTACATGTCTTTCATTCTATTCTAACTTATATCTCTTAAATTCTAGTAGTGACCCACAAAATTCATTTCTCAATGAAAAGAGAAGGATTTAAATAATGGCAGAATACTAACAATCTAGAAAACGGAATAAACTGCTCATTGTATTATTCTTACTCATTTGAAGGTTTAAATTTTTAAAAATATAGTATTGGGGAAAATTATTTTACTGAAACATTCTCTTCCTCATTGGCTTCTAAGCTCCATTAGGGCAAGGATGATGCATTTTAAATTCTTAGGTGTTGGATATCTAGCATAATGATTGCCCCATAATAGGCAATTAATAAATATTTGTTGTGCAAAAATATACATTTGGCTAGTTCCCAATATACTTGGAAAAACAAGAAGGAATTGTGTTTTGAAAGGAATAAGAAGATCAGAGGACTCCACTCTAGAAAAAGAAAGGCTAATTTGTATGAACAATTGAAAGTTGTTATAATGGAGTTCACTGGACAACTACCCAATACTTTCTGTTGCTATTGTTTGTAACATAATTTTGCTCCAATAGATAAAAATATGACTTAATATGAAAATATCCCAGGATTTTGTATGAAAAGCATTCTTTTTCAGTTACATTAAAAAAAAAAAGAGTTTTCAGAAATTAAGATCGATCCTTATCCATGTGCAAACATGTAGGCAAACCATGAGACTTAGTTTTCATACCTTGGTGTATAACTAAAGGTATTTTAAATATTTAGTTTAATATGTTGACTTCATAGTATTAAATGTTGTGTTGTGCACATTAAAGATAGTAAGTAATTGTCAGCTGTACTGAAGCAATATTCTTCTCTTAGTCATGTTTTACCTTCAAAGAAAATAAAAATTGCCAGTTTTTTCAGGACAATCTCTCTTTACAGATTATTTTAACAGTGCATTTGAGTAACTGAGGAAGAGAATAAACAATTTTCATTGAACATTCTCAAGTTATTAGATATGTTTGAAATAACCTTTGTAGTTCATTTCAAGGTGAAGCTGTCAATTCTGGATTTGTGGAAGGTTTGTATTATTTTCTTCAGGAAAGTACTTTGATAGAAAAACCCAACAAAAAGAAGCTATACATTTCTTATGTTGATTCGTCTTTCCTGTATAGAACTGGATTCTAGTGAGCACTTTTTGCTTTCTTGATCTTTGGCTCCCATCTATCTGTGTTGGCCCACAGATAGTTCTGATCAAGCCAGGAGGTTGTTGCCTGAATCTGTGACTATGCTGTTGCTAAAATTCTAGCCACCATGAGGCAGTAGGAATAATGAAGTCAAGGATGGATAGCTCCAAGCTAAATGAGTTAGGAAGAACTATAGATTTCACAGATAAGACTGTGTTTAGATATTTAAATCTTCCTCTTTATTAGTTGTAAGTGGACAAATCAGGCTTTCTGAGTCTCAATTTTCATCTTTAAAGGGAATTGTCTCTGGAATTGAGAATAAAATGAAATGAAAGGTATAAAAGCACTAATCATGTGTCTGACATCATTAATGGTGGTTTTGGCAGCATCAGAGGCATTGGCTCAGGATATCCTTTAAGTGTAGCTTTCAGTAGATGAGACTTCTTGCTGCCACCCATTTTCAGGGGTCCTCAGTTAGGTTCGCTGGCTAATCTGAAGATGTATGACAGCCACTTAAGTAGTAACTGGAATAAGATAGGGGATTAATATGTTAATTAAATCTGAATGTAAGTAGGCAAAGTCTAAACCAAGCAGTGTCAGGTAGGGGTAATTATTATTTCTGGTTGGCAATCTGGTGATGTGACCTCCACACAACCTCTCAGTATTGTCTAACTAACTATAATCCTGGCTGAATTTATGCAGTACAAGCTGGGGTTGCTTTCTTGTGTGAATCTTAATTCAATTGGCAAGAATGCAAAATATAGAAAAGTCTAACAATGTAAAAGTTACAGCTACAAAAATCCCCTCTGCAAATTCTTCAGCACATGATTGTCCTTAAAAGGCAAGGGCAATTGAAGGAACAGCAACCAGGATGTTTTACTGGAAAGAAAAGTTGTGAGTGGCTTCATACGAAAGAGGTTGGACATGTTATATGAAAAAGTCATAGGTTTATTTGGGGGGATTCAGATGGAAGAAGTAAAAACTAATTTATCAAGGTATTAAATTCCTCTATAAGAAAAACTTTTTAAAGAATGAAAACATCCATCTATGCAGATATTCAAGGAGTGGATAGATGACCAGAGACTGAATTATAGCAGAGGGGATTTTTGTGTAGTCATTGGAATTTATTAAATGAACTCTCTGTAATTCCCCTTTCAACCATAATATCCTCAGACTGGGTGTTACAGGGGTGAGAATTATCTACTGGAAGAGGTTAAGCAACTTACTAAATACAAAGGCACCATTATCATTAAAGGATTAGACATTAGTACTAGGGAAATGCCCACTATGGGAAGCCTTAGCAGTGGACTAACTCACTATTACAACAATAAGAGAGCAGACATATTTTATTTCATATCTTTTGGCCTATAGATTTTGCAAAAATTCAAAACTTGCATACCTTTTAGGCAATCATCTTTCTCTGCTGTGAATTGGAAACCGTGATAAATGATCTGACCTTTACCAGGCTCGCATATATGTCAGTACTAAGGAGCAATTTTTAATTTTAAAAAGGCTTTGAGAGACTTTCTAAGAGAATAAATACACATTAATCCACGAA